AACCCAGCCATCTACATACTGATGAATACATTCTCAGAGTAAAAACAATACAAGTACTGAGAAGCAACTTCAACCTTCTTTAAAACCAACTTCAACCTTCTTTAAAACCATGACTGGGAACAGCTTTATTTTTGAATGAGTAAATGTCCATTGCCATATTGCATGCTGAACTTAAGTGACTTTCAAAGAACATGTTCAAAGAATCTATATGTTTTTGGTTTTTGTAATCCCATAGGCCTATGAAACAGTGTATGATGAAATGTGCCTATGGCAAAAGAACAGGCAAACATTGCTGAAATAATCAAAACCTTCTCATATCACTTACATTGCGCACTCATGCCTAAATATAAGTAGTAAATCTTTTTCTCTACACAATTAAACACTGCTGCAAATAATGTGCAGTTTTAGGCATGTACACTTTATAAAGTGTTCATAAACAGTCACTACAAAGCCAAGCAATCATACTGGTTGAAACCTACAGTTACTAAAGAAGTGAAAAAATACGGTAAGATTAACTCATGCTTCAAGTTTAGCTTCATCACAAATGACAGGTCAATCAGTTACAGCAAATGAAAGAATTTTGCAAACAAGATAGCTATTACAATAACAAAATTAAGCCACAGGTTCCCAGTGGGTGACTTGTAGAGCTCTAGATATATTTCAATCAGGAATCATTATCCCTAGAGTACGCTTGGATTTGATCAAATTGATTTTTCTCAACTGCAAAAAGTGACAGATACAAACAGAAAAATCTATTCTCAGAATATCATGGCTGCCTATAAGGTGAAAAAAGAAAAAGGGAAAAAAAACAAACCTGGCCAATGATTCTACCCAATAGAGCCCAGATTCCTTGTCCTTCATTTCGTAGCTTTCCATTCATATTTTGTAGTTCTTCCAAAGACTCGCACAGCTGAAATGTAAAAAGCCCCTGTTAAAGTTTATTCACTGAAGTTACTCAACATTTACTATCTACAGGAGGCGTTTTACCTGTAACTTTTATGAATTAGACAATTAAAAAAAAATAGAACTCAATAGTCATGTCAATATCACTGAGATCGATCAATGGAATTATTCAGCCATTTAACAGCACTACAAAGAAAACCTGAGCAGCCATCTGTTTTGAGAAAGCAGATTGAAGTAATTCAGCATAAGGTTCTACAAGTACAATCAGAAAGCAAGATTAAAATATGCTAATGCCATATATGAGTTGAATATACTACTACTTCTAGCTGCAAAGTTATGACAAGTTTTTCAAGCTTGGTCCCCTCCTCTACTTCCAAAATAAATGCAATCTTAAAAGGCGACAATGTTAGCAGAAAGGAGTATTTTTAAAAGTAATTCTCAGTTATAATACTGTATCATTTTTTAAATTAACTGCATTCCTCAACAAACAGGTATTACCTTTACACAATATGAATTTAAAACATGATTCAAATGCCATGGTTTCATAAATTTTAACCTGCTTAATACAGAGACCATAAGTATTAGACCATTCTGCAAAAATGGATATAATCCACTGAAAAATTATAACTGTTTCTGTTTCAGAACATGAATGGGCCCCCAAACTTAGGTAAAATCACATTCCATACCAAAGGAGTGAAATACAACTATTTTCACTGAGAAGAGAAAGTGCAATTACTCAAAAAGAAGATCAGGAATGAGACAAATCAAGTTACAATAACCAAGAAAAAGGCACAAACAAAAAAGAAAGAAACTACAATAAAAGAGGCCTCAAACCCTGGAAGTGGTTCCATGCAAAAAGCCTATGCCCATTCAGGACCCTACTAGAGCTATAAAGCCATTTGAAGGATATGGGAACAAGTCAATATTTTTTTAATGTTTTAATTATAGTTATATACGAGATATAAGGAAGATATCTGAAGTATAAATTTTCACCCTGCTATTTCAATTTTAAACAACTTTTGTATATCACATTTAAAAAAAAAGAGCCCTCTGGATAGCAAAACACATTCAGTACACTGTTGTATGCATTAGACTTCTTACCTTATTATATTCCACGTGAAGTTTTTCTTGCTCATTTTCCAATTTATCCTTAATATTCTTTTGTTCAGTCATATTTTCCTGGATCTGAATCATGCGCATATTTCGCTCTATTACAAACAAAATCCAATAGTCTCTAGCTTCAACTGGATTTTTAGGGATTATACATTTGTTAAAAGAAGTGCTACATATTAAAGTGTTAAGCAAAGAAAGTTAAAATGTAAAATTATTATAATACAAACATAGAGGTAGTCAAATGACAACCGAAAATCTTGTTAAATACCCTAGGAATGGAATAAAACAAAAACACAGTTCTGCCTTTTTGATGCATGGGGAAAGTTTATAGTCCACATTAGTCTGAGCCAAAAAAAACGGAAGAAAGTAAGGGAGCTCCTAAAGCCTTTGCTCTTGAGATTAGACTTAAGGTCAAGAGGAAAAAGCACGTACAAAGAAGAAAGAGAAATATGCCAACTAGCTACCTTCCACTCTAACGAAAACATAGTTCCCCTTCTCCTCCCTACATTTGAAGGAATTTGTGTTACCAAAAAAAAAAAAGTTAAGAAGTCAAACATTTTTATTCTTTGAAATGCTGAACTCTGCAGTCATTTGAATACAAAATCATAGCTTGCTTTTTCTTCAGTGAGAAAAGGAAATATAATTATATGCATAAGTGTAAAGCTGATTGTTATAACTGAAGCCTTCCTATTTTTCTTTCATCAAATATTTTCTTAAAAATCAATTTCATAAAGCCCAAAGCATATGTACAGAATTTCCTATATAATTTTAGAAATGTGACTATCAGGCTGTCCTCCTTACCAAGATAATAATTCACAAAATCAGCAGTGAGAGCTGGCTGCTTATGTTTCCTCCTTCCATCCACACTGGAACTGGTATCTGAAGTGTCCACAGGAAAAATGTCTGTACTGATGCCCATTAATTCAGCTTTACGCATCAGTTTACGTATGGCCGAAGCGCTGCTAGTGAGTGGCCGTGGCAGCTTCTCCCTTGGAACCCAAGCCTGAGGCCTCGTGGTGCGAGCCAGTTCTGCCTTAGCACGATATTGCTGTAGTCTAGCATTGATTCGAGCCTATAATCAAAATCCCATAAATCAAAACGCAGTAGAAAACAAAGTAACTTATGCCAGCAAATATAATCTCCCTTGGAAATAAGTATACCATAGGCATTACTTTTAATACGAAAAATCACAGTCTAATCAGTATTTTCCTTATTTTAGGATGTGGTACTCAAGAGGGAAAGACAAAAATGGATATATATTTGATTTCACTTCCAAACTTTACAATTCAGCAGCAGTATATTTTCTTAAACTTAGGTTAAAAATTCATTCTCAGTAAGAGAATTGTTATCAGTCACAGCTCTCTGCCTTCAACAAAAGTGTTAATATACATCTGCCAGCTCCCAACAATCACCTGTAGCAAGTCATATCTAGGTTAAATGGTATTATGCTCACAAGTGGATAAAATCTGTTGCTTCTGCTTCAGAAAACAGATATACATATTGTATAGCATAAATACTGACACCTTTGCCCAGTTCTTTCATAAAAAAAAACTCTTTCCAGAGTGCCATTCCGCTTTATAAATTAGTATACTAGCTGATATTAATGTGCCACAAGACAATTTCAACAAAAGCAGGAACAAAAACAGAAGCACAGTGCATATATTGCAGATGGCATCTATGTATCTGTGACCAGCTGGGAGACCAGTCCCAGAAGATCAAGTTGTAACAGGTAATCAGAAATACTGTCTGCAGGAATACTGCGTAGCGGCAATTATGGCAGAAAATGACACTAGCATACAAACTTTCAAAGGAATGAATCCAGCTGAATAACAGTTGCCATTTTGAGTACCTGCCTGTATAAAAACGAAACTAAACTAAAGGGCGTTAATCCAACTGCCACACCACATGGTACAAAATACCCATGAAAGAAAAGCAGCAGTATTTATATACCATATTTACTCAACTCCAATATGAGGTTTTCTTTCCCTGTTCAAGGGGAAAACAAAGCTTCATTTCAGAATCAAGTATCAAGTGAAAAAACAGAAGAGGTGGCAGGAATCCACTTGGGGAGGCACACAACCCAGAACAGAGGCACCCAAAAGTGTGGCAGGCAGGTGGTAGAAGGGAAGGCAGCACACTGGGGGCATGAGGGAGAAGGACAAGTGTCTGGGGGGTGGGGGCAGACTGTGGGAGGAGCAAGCAACAGGGAGGGCAAGCACTGGAGGGGTGACCCCCTCCCTCCCCTACTACAGTGGTTGTGGGGACAAATTTAAGATGACCCTCCACTAATTAGATTCTCTACATGAAAAATAATAACAAATTTACAATTTTCTATGCATAGAATCTAATTACTGGGGAGTCATCTTAAATTCAAAGATATCTTCGATTCAGGTAAATAAAGTACATGGTTACATTTGACGCACATCTTTAATTATATGCAACATTGTTGATAGTAACATTACAGACACAGTTGACTCTGCACACTGACTCATTAGTTTCTGTCAGATGTGTAGCAATAAATCGGTCCATATCATACTGGCACCAAGAAAAGGAAAATTGACATTATTGGCAATCAACCTTGTTTGGCTGATGCGGCTGATGATGTCACCAATAAATGCTGTGTGCTGCAGCAGCATGCACGGGGACAGCCCGGCAGCTTGGAGACCATCAGTAAGTTGGGGAGGGTGGTGGGGCATGCTAGATCTTGGTTTGCTTTTAAATGCCAAAGATGATCTTCTACTTTAAAAAGTTGAAGACCACTGATTTAGGTAAACTTGCAAAAAGGAATTAAAATAGAAAGAATCATCTCTGTTCCCGGAGAGTACAACAGTAGAATTAAAATTTTTCTACTAAGTAGAATTCTTGTTG